CACATTTTTAAAAAATCCAGATTTCGTGCTTCTTTGAAAGAATCAGAAGGCCTGGTACTGCTGGGCCTACTTCTCCGCGTGGGGACCGTTGGCTGGAGATGAAGAGCCCCCTCCTCCCTCAGCCAGGACAGGTGCTCTTCCTCTCTTCAGTCTCCAGCTCGTCCACTTCACTCATCTGTGTTTCGTGCTTCGTCCTAAAGGCAGCAGGGTTTGAGGCCACCTGATGCAGGTGAAGAAAATAGCTGGTCTTTTGTTAAGAGAGCCTTTCCCGGGCATTCTCCTTCTCTCCCAGGGGCTGCTCCTTGGTAGGTGGCAAGTTCACGGTGTGCGTGTGGCCGTGCTGCTCTTCTCACTGCCACCATCATTCATCCACTATAGCACACCCTCCTTTTGAGCCCACAGGCCTTAAATCCCTTTCAACACGGTACTCCAGGAAGCCACTACCAATCAAATTGAGTCAGAAGACCCCAGAAAACCTTGGACAGAGAGTCTGAGGGTGTAAATTCCTTTTCTGCAAAGCAGTGTGACCTTGAGAAAGGCCCTTTGCCTTTCTGAACCTTAGACTCTCCCTCTGTGAAATGAGAGTTTGGGATGATATTATCTCTAAGGCCCTTTCAGCTCTGAAAATTTTATCACCTTCGAGAAAAGACTGGAAAGAAACATACCAAAATGTGAGCAGTGGTTATCTTTGGGTAGTCGATTCATGGCCGTTTTAATCTTTTAAAAAATGTCATTACAGGATGGCTAATAAGTTGGACCTTGAGTTAGAATGTCTGGGTTTAAATTCAGGTGCCATCACTTACCAGCTGGGTGATTGTAGGAAAGTTCCTTAATGTCTGTGAGCCTCAGTGTCTTCATCTTTAAAATGGGGACAATAATAGTACTTACTTCACAGAGTTGTGAGAGTTACATGACATAGTGGATATAAAGTACGTAGCTCAGTGCTTGGCTCGTGATAAATACTTATTACAGGAAGGCTATTGTTATTGTGTCTATCCTTTGTAGTTTTTATTTTTCTCCAAGGTACATGCAATTTTTAATAACCATACAAAATGCTGAAGGGTGATGTGGTGTTATGAGTATATCTCCTGTGAGAAACTGGGGATGAGTCCACAGAATTCTTGGAAGTGGAGACTCCAACATGAAATGCTTCATATTTGCTTAACTGGGACAACCAGAAGCTTCCTTTGAGTTCTTAGGACCTGCCATGAGCTTTATCCTGGCAAACTGAAGATTAAGTGTGACCAGTGTGAAAGTGACTCTAAGAGGGGATCGTCTCAGTGACCTTTCAGTAAATAACTCCACAAGTTGGATGCTATGTTTGCACAGGGCTTAGGGCTTTGGGGTGTGGACATATACAGTTTCTCATTTCATCTCTGCCAAGGAATAGGTAACTCAACGATAGCCTGGGGAACCTGGCAGGCTCAAAGATATTTGATTAAAGGATCCTTATGTTCTTATTCTTTTGCTCTTATTTTATTGCCCTTTTAAATTAACAATTATGAATCCAGTTGGTTTAGGGAAGGGGCTTAGCTTCAAGAGGGACAGTAGATTTTGGTTAACTAAAATGATTAAGATGTGGGATGATGGAATTCAAATTCAAAACTGTCTTTCCAGATTGAAATGAGGGACCCATACTACAGACTGCACTGGAGAGTTTAAGAAGAATTTACACTCTTGCAAGAAGGGGGAGATGTGGCTTTCCAACTCACTTTAGGATGCTTTTTGCAAAGGTCGTGAACCCATGGACTGCCTGCTGAATCTGGCCCATGGATGCAGTAGTATTTTATTTCGCCAGCACAGTATCTAAAATGCTTGAATTTTAATGTCTTTGGATGAGGCATGCATTTTCAAGTTCACTACAGCCCTCCCGGCTCCCTGTTATTTCACATTTGGCCAGATTCACGCATTTATGTTAACTACTGGTCTCTGCAAGCATTTGAGATTGTGAGCCCCAATCACAGGGTTTTTATTTATTTGCATGTTTGTTTTGCATGGACCAGATGCTCAGCAGATTCTGTGTAGTGATATTGCTCTTAAAAAAGCAAAGGCCACATTTCTAGAAATACGATGTCCAAATTAAGAGAGATGATAGCTCCATTATACCTTTTCTGTTCTTAGGAGTGCTTTCAGCTGCAAGTAACAGAATATTTGACCAGTGGTGACTTAACCCATTAAGACATATTGGTTTTTTTCTTTAACAAGGAGCCCCTGGTCTGGTTTAGTGACTCAATAACTGGTCAGGGACTCAGGTCCTTTCGATTCTTCTGTTTTGCCTTCCTCAGCTGCTGGTTCATCTTGGTCACAAGATGGCTGCTTCTGTTCCAGCCATTGCATTTTCACATACCAACGTTCAAAACAGGAATAAAAGGGAGAGAAAAGTAGCTTTCTTCCTGGTCCTTCATCCTTTCATTAGAGTAGACTTCCCCTTACATTTCTTTGGCCAGAACTGGGTCATATGCCACGCCTTGAACGTCACTGGTAGAGATTAACAATCCAGATTCTTCTTCAAGAATGGATAAGTGCCACTAGAGCAAACTTTGATTTTGTTAGCAGGGGTAGAGGAGCAATGGCTAAGTGGTACAACTGATGATTTCTCTAGCAATACTGACACCATTATCTGTAGACTTGACTTAGTTCTGGGGGGTAAACATTTAACGATCGATGTTGACAAACTGCAGTGTGTCCAGAGGAAGGGCCTCCAGGATTGTGCAAGATTTAAATGACATATGATAAGACTCTCAGGAGACATATTTAGGGAAGTGCCGCCTGGAGAAGAGAAATCTCAGAGATGATATGAAAGGATGTGAAAGTTCAAGAACCCCATGGGCTGTTAGGGGGTAGAAGGTTGAGTCTTAATTTTGTTTGTTCAGGGAACAGAATTGAGGCCAGAGGATGAAATTATAAGGAGTAAATCTTCAACTTGATATGAGGAATAGGCTTTGGCACTTAGGTTTCTAATGGACAACTGTGATGTTTCATAGAATAATAAGTGTCTGTCGGCCGTAACTGAGCTGAGAGTGAGTGTGATCAGTCAGGAATGAGGTGGAGAGTTGACCTCACATTGTCGAGATGGAATCCAGTCACCTCTGAGGTCCTTTCTAACTCAGAGACTCTGTACCTCTCAAATCCTTGATTTTTTTTTTTAAATCCCCAAATCCTGGTACTTTAGGCCCTTGGATTTGGTTGAAAACCAACATCCTCACTTTCTGTGCATGTGAGTAATTCAGTATAAATGTGCCTGGCACGGGGGAGGAATTTATGACCCCTGCACCATGGCCTCAAATCCCCACAGGACTTTGCATCATCTGAAGGGGAGACAATATTTGAAAAGCAGAAAACCTATGTATATATCAAGTCACACACACACATATAAATATAAACATAAGTAGGTCAGCCGGCGTCATATTTACTGGTGGAAATGTTTTTGGCTAAGAAGCACATCTACAGAAGACGATGTTTAGAATAATTGCCAACGATGTGCAAATGGGAAGTTTTTTCAACGCATCCAGTTAATCATGATGACTTATTAAAGTATATTCACAGTTTTGCACATCTTACTGTTGTAATACTTTCATATTCCAAAGGGATAACCAGAACCCTCCTGATTTTTTGGTTGTCAAATTATTCTTATTTGTCCATTGTACTCCCCTGCGTTTTGAACATTTGCTTATGGCAGAAACTGCTCTGGGTTCTGTTCCATTGTTTATCTACTTCCTCTGTTTTCCCCTCACATCTCCCAAAGAAAAACGAAACCCAAAATTGCTTTCCAAATGCTTTGTCTTTCCATTCAAATTTTATTTTGTCTCATATGATGGAAATGGATATGTTCTTTCTAATTATTTATTTATAATAATAAATATGTATAGGTAATCGTGTACAGAGTACGTGTACAGAGTAAAAAAATCCAAATACAGGGGCCGGCCCCGTGGTGTAGTGGTTAAGTGTGCGCGCTCCACTGCTGGCGGCCCCGGTTTGGATCCCTGGCGCGCACCAACGTGCCGCTTGTCAGGCCATGCTGTGGTGGCATCCCACATAAAGTGGAGGAAGGTGGGCACGGATGTTAGCTCAGGGCCAGTCTTCCTCAGCAAAAAGAGGAGGATTGGCAGATGTTAGCTCAGGGCTGATCTTCCTCAAAAAAAAAAATCCAAATACAATACAGCATTCAGAGAAAGAATATTTGCTCAATTAACACACGGCAGAGCCTGACACCCGTTCCTCTCCGGGGAGGTGACTGTGTTACCAGTTCAAAGAGGAAAAATGTTAATTGGATTGGTAGTTTGTTTCCACTTGTAATTTTTGCTGAGGTTGGTATGTTAAAAGGATCTTTAATTTTTAAAATCTCACTGACTTGAAAGAGGTTTTCATTTTCCATTAGTTTCTCACTGTGTCTGTTTTGCCAAAACAAAATGAAAACCCACTCTAGAATGTGAGGTGACTTCTGAAAATTGCTGGCACCTCAAAGCCAGACCCACACACTCACCCAAGGAATTTAGGATAATTTGGGGTGATCTGGTAGGGGGGTCATGATTACTTCATATGCTAATGAAAGCTATGGACCCTTTCCAGAGGAATCCATGTTAATAAGCTTGCGTTCAATATTATGTGCAATTTCAGGGGTTCACAGACCCTCTGGAACCCATTCATCGACCTCCTTGGAATTGATTTATTGATTGGTTTATTAATATGTTCATTATTCAAACATTTACTGTGCCTGTACCCTATGCCCAAATGTTCCGTCGACATATCTGTGATCAGATTATTTGCTTTGACATAACTCAGAGTCTAGCTGGAGGAGACTTGCAGTTAAAGCCCAGAGAGATGCAGCTCTGATTAAGGTAGAGCAGGGGCTGTGGGAATATAGAGGAGGGGTACCTCCTTCTGGGGTCTGGGGGTGGGGGCTTTGTCAGAGAAGATGCCCTGGAGGGCTGTGATCTAGAGTCGGATTCGAGAACTCCTGATCGTGAAGAGGCTGGCATCCTATGTGCCTGCCTCTGCAGGTGGTCATCGTGTGCAGCCGAGGATGAGCTGCCTGGTGAAGGAGGCTGGCTCATGGAGGACCAGGCACCAATTTACAACCTAGGCCTTTCCCCTCTCTTAACATGTTCCTCAAGGCTGCCAGGCTTGAGAGATGTTTTGAAAGCTCCTGAATTTTCCCCTGGACAGCAGCCCTCACAACAAAACGTTGAGCTTTTTTGCCAATTTCTGTTTTGTTGTCACAAATGGCTGAATGTCTCCTGCTCTATCTTGTCTCTTCCAAATTAGGAGACTAGCCAGAAAGAGTGAGTGGCATTTGAAATCCATATTGTCTTGCATGCTTGTAGTCCCAGGGCTGGAAAAAGCCCCATATTTTCCAGGTGACTTGTTTCAAAGCTGAGATATTTGTAGGGCTGAGGAAATGTAGTGTTGGTTGACTTAGGTGAATAAAGCCAGAACCCTGGGAAGAGGGTGTTGAGCTGCAGAAAATGACAGGCTTGCTGTGGTTCCGGCGCTACGTGATGGGCATGGCTTCCACCAATGGGATTTTGAAAATGGCAGGCCCCGGTGAAGACCTGAGCTTCCTGGTCAAACTGCCCTTTAGTTAATTGCTATTGGTTTGCCTTGGTTAATAGGTACTTGTTTTTTTCTTCTTTTCTTTCTTTCTTTTTTAAAAAACTACTTGGTAGCCTTAAAAGAAGTACTTTTATCACAGAAAATTTCAAACACATACAAAAGTAGAGAGAATAGTATGATAAGACCTCATGTACTCATCGCTTCAACAATTATTAACATATGACCATTCTTGTTTCATCTACAACTGCACCACTTTCTCTACCCTCCACCACTGGATCATTTTAAAGCAAATCCAAGACATTGTTATATTTCATCTATAAATATTTCAGTATATTTCACAAAAAGATAAGGATTTTAAGGACTGTTAAAAAACATAACTACAGCTAATATAAAAATAATCTGATGACCACACACTTTAGAGAATTTGTGAGATTCAGAGGCATATAAAGAAAATAAAAATCATCTTTGATCTTACCATCCACAGACAACTGCTGTTAACATTTTGGTATATTTCCTTCTAGTGTTTTTTTCTATACCTTATGTACAAGCACACACATATACATACAGATGCCATAATTTCACATATCAATTTTAATTTACTTAACATTTTATTGTGAGCATTACAGACTATTTCTAAACATTTTTATCTGCTACATTTACCATCCTATGGACATATTGTGATTCATTTGATAATTTAGATTTCTTCAAATCTGCTGCTTTTAAAAACCAACACCCTGGTGAATATCTTTGTAATGATATAAATCTGATAAAAATCTGCTGAATTGCAGATTTTTGGTTTTGAATTGAATCCTATGACTGAAATTACTGGGTCGCTGTGCATAAAGAATTTTAGGATTCTTGATACTGCTAATTAGTTTCCAGAAAGATTGGACCACTGGACACTTCCAATAGCTATGTCAGAGAACCTCTGTCGCCTAACTCTGGCCAGCACTTGGAACAAAAATTTTTCTAATTGGCTGGATGAAAATGTTATCTCATTGTTTTAATTTGCATCTCTTTTATGGCACCTGCTGTGGAATATATTTTAATTTAGTCGCATTTTTATATTCTCTACGTGTTGCGCATCTTAACCTCTTTGATATTCCTCATTGTGTAAATGGAAAACCTCAGAAAATGATGGATCTCAATATAAAGTACTGTGAAATAATTTGAATTTTTTAAAAATAATAAATATTTTGAAGCCTGGCAGGGAGTTCTATGCTTATTCATTCTTAGTCACCAGGCATTGCTCAACCGTTGTGTCTGTATCAATGTCGTTGCAAGAATTGCTTTAAAATGTAAAATTCCCCAGCAGAAAATCATTTTGTGGGACTTGACGATTATGATTTGCCAGGAGGTGAGATAGAGAACCATGTCCTAGTGGGCCGGAGATGTGCTCCTGTCACGGGTTTTGTGGGGAACAGTGGGGATTTGTTCCTTTCTCTGGAAAAGCGCAGGCAGAGTGAGGATGACAGTAACTGCCCTGCCATCTGAGAGGGATATGGCATGGGCGGCAGGGAGTAGCTGTTCTCCATTTCCATGGCAGGGGTGCAGGCAGTGAAATGATTTTAAACAAAAGTAGGAGAGATTTAAGGTTGATATTAACAGGTGTGGGGGGCTCTTCTAAATGTTTAACCACTAGTGGTATGATCACTGCTATGGACTGAATGTTTGTGTCCCCCCCAAATTTATATGTTGAAATCCTAACGCCCAATGTGTTGGTCTTAGGAGGTGGGGCCTTTGGGAGGTGATTAGGTCATGAACGTGGAGCCCTCATGAAGAGGATTAGTGCCCTTATAAAGGAGACCCCGGAGAGCTCCCTTGCCCCTCTGCCATGTAAGGAGACAACAGGAAGAGGTTCCTCTGTGAACTGGCAAACGGACCCTCACCAGACACTGAATCTGCCAGAGTCTGGATCTTGGACTTCCAGCCTCCAGAACCGTGAGAAATAAATTTCTGTTGTTTATAAGCCACCCACTCTCCGGTATTTTGTTATAGCAGCCTAAACAGACTAAGACAATCAGTGATCAATCAGAGCAGACACCCTCTTCATAAGAGCCTGGACCCCCTGTAGTGTCAGGCATTAGTCCTCTGGTGGCTGATTAGGAGAAGGTGGGGGCTCCAGAGGGATGAGCTGAGCGGCAGAGGGACTTGAAGGCCCTGGAGGCTGTGGCTATTCATAGTCAAAACCCAAGCATTTCAGTATTTGAATAACCAGTTCAGTTGTACGGTGTATATATCAGCTGGATATCAGACTAGAATATAAGTGAGATCTCTTATGTCTTTTACGCCAAAGTGTGTGCAGTGGATTTCTCAAGGAACTGTCTAGGACAGGACAGAGGATGGCTCTCTCTTCTGCCATATGTCAGCCATGCCCTGAAATGAGGAGTTGGGCTGAGAACATTTCGAAACTCCCTTTTCTAAAATATGGAATAGAAATGTGCTTCTTTCTCCTTCCACCTCTGAGCCCAGTGCTGTCCCTTCTCTACTGTGAATTAATTTTCCAGCCATACTGCACAGGCATGCCTCCCTCCCATGAACAGAGGCAGGCGTGGGAGCTGAAGCCAGCTTTTCTTTCACTGCCCGCTCCCCATCCCCTCACCTCCTGTCTTTCACGGCAAGGCCTTCCCAGGCAACTCTGGTTTTCATGGAGGTTGAACGAAAAGGACTGTTTCAGTCCCTGGTTTTGGGGTGTGATGTGGTCATTTGCAGAAGCATCAAAATAATCTTGTAGCTCACTGGAAATACTCCACAGCCCAAATGAGCTTTGTTAAAGATCAACTTTCAAAAGATGGCTGTGGATATCCCTTATTGGGATCATGTATTTGGTTTACTTCAAGAGTCTGTGGCTTCCCTTCCTTCTCCAGAATGGAAAATTCTCCATCCCCGTCCTGGGCATAGAGCTTTTCAAATTCCAATGGTTTCCAGGGAGAAGAGGCACATCTCTGGCTTCATCTGAGGGTAGGAGGAACCTGGGATATGTTGAAGTTTATTGTTTAAGAGTGTTATGGGCTCAATTGTGTCCCCCTAAAAGTCATATATTGAAGTCATAACCCCTAGTATTTCAGAATGTGATTGTATTTAGAGATATGATCTTTAAAGAGGTAATTAAGGTAAAGAGGTCATAATTTAGGTTAAAGTGGACCCTAATATAATAGGACAGGTGTCCTTATAAGGAGAGGAGATCAGGACACAGGCATGCACAGAGTGAAGACCACGTGAGGACACAGGGAGAAGATGGCTACCTGCAAGTTGAGGAAAGAGGCCTCAGGAGAAATCAATCCTGCTGACACATTGATCTCAGATTTGTAGCCTCCAGAACTGTGAGAATATATTTTTGTGGTTTTTTTTTTGGTGAGGAAGATCGTCCCTGAGCTAACATCCATGCCAATCTTCCTCTACTTTGTATGTGGGACACCGCCGCAGCATGGCTTGATGAGTGGTGCATTGGTCCGCACCTGGGATCTGAACGCATGAACTGGGCCGCTGAAGGGGAGCATGTGAACTTAACCACTACGCCACTGGGTCGGCCCCTAAATTTCTGTTGTTTAAGGTCCCCAGTCTGTGGGTCTTTGTTATGGCGTCCCAGCAGGCTAATGCAGAGAGGTTGGAAGGTACTGCAAGCTTAATTCCAAGCCTCCTTAGCAGTATTCTACTCCTGAACTGGGAGGGGGTTAAAATGCTCCAGTGCAGAACTTGGACCCCCATCTTCTAACACGACCTTTCTTCTTCTCATGGTGGAGTTTCCGTTCTGGCAGTGGGGCACCCCCTTTGAGGAACTGAGTCTTTGTCTTGGAAGCCTTCCTAGAACACTTCTAAGACTTCCAGTTTCAGTGCTTCCTAAAAATTTTTACTCAAATAGCCTTAGAGGGTATGGTAGGCAGAATAAGAGCCCCTCCACAAAGACGTCCACGTCCTAATCCCTAGAATTTGTGAATATGTTACCTTATATGGCAAAAGGGAATTTGCAAGTATGATTAAGTTAAGGATCTTCAAATGGGGAGATTCTTCTGGATTATCCAGTGGGTCCAGTATAATCATGAGGATCCTTATAAGAGGGAGACAGGGGGTGAGAGTCAGAGAAGGAGATGTGATGACAGAAACAGAGGTTGGAGTGATTTGCTTTGAAGACGGAGGAGGGGGCCATGAGCCAAGGAACTCAAGTGGCCTTTAGCAGCTGGGAAAGGCCAGGAAACAGATCCTCCCTTAGAGCCTCCAGAAGGAATGCAGCCCCATCAACCCTTGACTGTAGTCCAGTGAGACCCATTTCAGACTCTGGACCTCTAGAGCATAAGAGAACAAATTTGGGTTGCTTCAAGCCACTCAGTTTGTGGTAATTTATTACTGTAGGAAACCAATACAGGGGGAGAGTCTGGTAAACATGCTGTAGGGCAGGCTGTACTGGGAGGGGCCTTCTCTTTGAGCTTTACCTTAGACATTCATGTAGATTATGCATCTCATCTCATAATGTAAC